CCTCCCAATGGAAGCTGCCTGGGTGATTTTGGACCAGCCCGACTTTCTGCCTAACCTACCTTGCAGGGTTGCTGTACAGATCACAAAGTGGAAGAAGAGAATGAAGTAAACTGCTTTGCTCCCCACTAAAGAGAAAGACAGAACTTTGCCTAGGAAGAGGCGGCTGAGAGGGGAGGAGATAAATTTGCCAACTTTAGGTATGGAAATTCCTGGAGATTTGAGGGGTGGAGCCTGGAGAGGGTGGGGTCTGAGGAGGAGTGGGATCTCAGACAGGTACAATGCCATTGACTCCACCCTCCAAACCAGCCATTTCCTCCTGGGGAACCATTGTTGCCAATCTCCAGGGGAGGGCTGGAGATCACTCAGCATTACACCTGTTCTCCAGGAGGGAGGGGGGGAGGAGATGGAAAGCTGAAGTCAGAGGGGCAGATAAAGGTAGGTTGATTGTTGGCTGGGAAGGTGATAGACTTGCCAACTCCAGGCTGGGAAATTCCTGTAGATTTGAGGGGTGGAGCTTGGGGAGGGTGAGGTTTGAGGAGGGGTGGGACCTCAGACAGGTACAATGCCATAGACTCCACCTTCCAAACCAGCCATTTCCTCTTGGGGAACCATTTTTGCCAATCTCCAAGGGAGGGCTGGAGATCACTCAGAATTACAACTACTCTTCAGATGGTAGAGATCAGTCCTCCTGGAGAAAACAGTAAGCTCTGTGTCATTATACCCTGCTGAGGTCACCACAGAAAATTGACGCTGAGTGCCCAATGCCAGGGCACCCACCCAGAGCCTCTTTCTAGAGCTTGTTGTATTTATTTCCACAATGGACCTTATTCCTAGTCTAATAAAAAGCTCAGGAACAATTAACTCTGGTTGTTCATTACCTAATAAATACAGAAAAATAACTTCAAGTTTACAGTCAATGACCCATCCTCTAGGATACAGGTCATACTTCTGCACTTGTTGCTTACTGATGATTATTAAAAGCATTTCATCCACTGTATTTAAGCATTTCAAAGACACTTGTGGTATGACTACAAAGACAGAATGGATAGAAATCTCGCTGCCAAGCAAAAGAGAAAAAAAAGTTAATATGTACTCAAAATTTCATTCACTGTGTATATAAAGAGTTTGTTTTTAAACAATCTGTTAAACATTTCTCCTGTTTTTGACCATTCTAGCCCTGACCTGGATAGCCCAGACTAGCCCAATCTCATCAGATCTCTGAAGGTAAACTGGGTTGGCCCTAGCTAGGATTTTGATGGGAGACCTCCAAGGAATACCAGGGGCCTGATGTGGAGGCTGGCAATGTCAAACCACCTCTGAACCTCTCTTGCCTTGAAAAGCCTATGGGGCAGCCATAAGTTAGCTGTGATTTGATGGAACTTTCCACCACCACCAAGTATATGTTGGTGAAGTGTTTTTTGCTCTGATGACAAATGATATTTACTAATTATGTGGTCAAGGAACCTAATGGCCATTTTACATTGTGAAAGAAGAATATTATCTAACAGAGAAGAATGAGAACAGAGAACTGTCATCTATGTACACTTGTGGGGGGATGTGAGCAATTTAGTGTTCCTTCTAAACTGAGTGTGAGTGTGAGAATTTTTGCTCACAAGACTCCACAACTTAGAGGGAGCATTGGTGAGCATGTGTAGAATTGAGCTTCATACAGCTTCCTACATATGATTAAGATAGGTTCTTCAGTCATTTTTGCTTTGTCTCTTAGCTGTCCATGTGTTAATCTTGTCCACTTCAGCAATGTACAAAATCTTAATAAATTATTCCTTCACTGTTGGAGGGTTGGACGGATGACCATAAGGCACACCAATTACTTCCACAGAATGATTTCATAAAATAAAGACGAGAGCATCCCTTTCAAACCAAGATCAGTGTTGCTCTCTACTGTGTAAGGGGGGCATAACATAAATATTACTGTGTTTCTAGACTTTTAATCAAAAGCAATAGCACCTTATCTGAATTTCTTTTTCATGTGGCTTCATTTGGTTGCAAGTACTCCCCTGAAGAAGGGCTATAGAGCCTGAAACATGATGGGACTTTTATTATTTTCAGTGCAATTTCAGTCTTTGCATCATATTACAAATAAAGAACATATTTTATAGTGACATAATGTTCGGCAACATGGAATACTAAATCAAGCTGATGTTGTCCAGTCAGTGACATTGAGATTTAGCCCATAGAAACCACAGAACAAATTCATGGCTTCACTGGGAGGCCTTGTGTAAATGACTAAATCTTTTCAAGGCTGCATCAAACTTTGTTTTTTCCTTATTTGCCTCTGAAAAATCTTTTCCCTGCATCCATGTTAAAGATTCAAAGAGAGAATCACAAGAAAACTATCTGACACATGCACTTTTGTAAGAAAGGAAATAAACTGGGAAAAGGATGCTTACAAGGGAAATACAAGTGAAATAACCATTTATCAAAATACAACAACTATAGGAAAATACAATGTATATACCTCTCAATGCACATGTATAAGTACCTATACACATTGATACCTATATATTGATTTCTTGTTTATTCGAACTTACTCACTGATACTTTGTATTCCTTGTCTATTTGTACTTCCATCTTGTACCTCGTGATATTTATATGCTATTGTACAATTTGTGTATTTTCCTACAGTTGTTGTATTTTGATAAACGGTTATTTCACTTGTATTTCACTTGTAAGTGTCCTTTTCCCAGTTTATTTCCTTTCTTATTGATTTCAGCTGGGGAGTCTCTCTGTTATTACATGCACTTTTGTGGCATTAAATGCATCTACATGTTGGAATACATGTACCCTGCCAATTTTCCATGCATGGTCAGCAGAAGACATACTCAAACACATACAGACCTTTCAAATATTATGAAGTCATTTGTACATGTCCAATCCTCACAGGGTTGTTGTGAAGATTAATTAGATAAGTGAATGTTGTAAACTGCTTTGGGTCCGCATTGGGGGACAAAGGTCATCTATAAATAAAGCAAATGAATACATTAAAAAAAACAGGTGCCCCAAACCAGGGACTTGCCATCAATTACTGCTGCCAGTTAGCTTAGCATCACTTTTTGTGATTATAGTTTAATTTTACATAATTACATTTCAACTTGGACTTCCTGTATTTCATGGCCACTCGATCTTAGTGTGTGTGTGTCCCCCCATGCCTCTTATTATGCAGCACTTCATAAATTATGACTGTTTATAGTTGAACTGTTTTAGATAATTTTATGTGATTTTAATTGTATCATAGTAATTAGTGTAAGCCGCCCTGAGCCTACTGTAAAGCGGGGAGGGCGGGGGGGTATAAATCAGATAAATAAATAATAAACAATATAAAATGATAGCATAGCGAGGATTCACTCATTGCTTCTGAAGGTTATTCTGGAACCAAATTTTGTTCCGTTAGTCTGAGGGGCTACAAACTTCTATTTAAACTGCATCAGAGTCATCCAAGTGATTATAGCGTCACTTTAAGCAAAACAGTTTTAACTAGTTTCACCAATTACTTGATGTGAAAGTATATGGAATAAAAGGACGGATTTACTGCTTCATAACCTTTCGGGAGCCTGAGTCCATTTTGCAAGATGCGTGAAAAATCAGAATGATTCTGTTTTGACAATTTGCTTGTCACTAACACGACTTTTTCTCTAAAAGCAGAAAGGTAAAATTCCAATTTTGCCTCCGTTTGTGCAGATCGCCGAGTCAGTGTGCGATATCCTAAAACGCATGCGCGTGCCTGCCTGCGTTCAAGCGCTCTCTCTCTCTCTCTCCCTCCCTCCTGTGACGCAAAAACACGCGGACCAGAAATAAGATAGGTGAGTGAATGGTACAAGAGTCCTGATTTGACAGCAGGAGTAACCAATCAAAACCACATACCAGCTCTTGGCGTTTCCCTCTGGTAATATTCCCTGCCTCTTCTTCCGGCTTGTTATCTATGATCCCAACGTGTGAGCCAATAGGGAGGTGAGGGACTGAGTGGAAGGCGCCGGAAGTGGTTTTGTGTTACGAGCGGATGAGCGAAGGAACAGAGGAAGGAGTGGGATGCTGAGTGGGACACTCAGGTGAGGGTGTTTGTCGGTCTCATTTCTTCGGTTTGTCCCCTTTTGTGTGTGTCTTTAGTCATAGGCAGACTAAGCCTTGCTTTCCTCCCATATTTCTGGTTTGGAGACCTTATAACGGTAATTCTGGAAGAGTAGCAGTGTTAGGCTGCTACATATCTAGGGTGTCTTATGGCATCTTAAATGTTAACCAGATTCTGTTCCAGCATAAGCTTTCGTGGATAAGAGATTGCTTTGTATGCGAAGAGTGGATTCTCACCATGAAGTCATTTTATGTATATGTAACTGGGTCAATAAATGAAAGATAAACAGGGTCAAGGAAATGCAGGAAGTTCAGAGTGACATTCAGTTGTGTGAAGTTTGAATCCAAGTCCCCCAAATAGAGACAATTCACTAGCTATGCTAAGCTAGTTAACACTTGTAATGAGTGTGGAATCCCAGCTTTTGTTAAGATAGTTAACATCTCTATTTTACACTTTACAGGTTTTAAGTCCTGCAGGAATGGTTAGCTAACAAATTGTGGGGTGAAAGGCAGTAATTTTTATCTCAGTATATTTATGCCACATTTTATATTTTCAGTGACCTTACTGAAAGGAAAACAAACTCGATTTATTTCCATGATTCAGGGTTCTGCTTGTTATGTTGCCTTTGGAAGGAGGTTAAAGCCAGTGTAATGTAATGGACTAGGATCTGGGAGACCAAGATTTGAACCCCCACTTTGCCAAACATGCTCTCTCAGCCTAACCTGCCTGACAGTGTTACTGCTGTGAGAAGAAAAACAAGAGAGGAGAAGAGTCTCATGCTGTCTGCTCCCCAATTTTTTCTGTTCTGTACTTCTTGCAATTCTCTTCTTTCTCTGCCCCATTTCAAAGCATTTCCTTGGCTTTCTCCTTCAGATGTTCTTCCAGTAATCTGTTCATGCCCATATTGCCTGCTGATATTAAGATTTCCTGGGTATCCACATTCAGTTCCAAATGAGCTACTCAAAAGCTTCAACTACTTGGGAACCTGTGTAAGACTTCTCCCTTAGGTCTGGCATTTCTTTTTAGATTTATATGGTACTTCCAACTATGCTGAAAACACAGCAGTAGAACATAAAATCGCATCAAAAACACACACAGACCTAATCCAGCAGCACACAGCTCTTCCCAAAATTCAAAATGAATAAAATGCTACAAGGGTCTGCTGTTTTATCTAGTTTGGTCCTAATTTGCTGTTTCATGGAACCATTTCAAAGGCTGCTAGAAGAGCACTTTTAAAGCCAGCTGTTTATTTTATTTTATTTATTTATGTATACCCCGCCCTCCCAACGGCTCAGGGCGGCTTACATATGCCAAAGCCAATTGCTGAGCCAACTGCATTTGTCAAGCAAGTCTATACTGAGGTAAGAGTTTCATGGAGGAAGATTTGTATATCATTATTCAGGCCACATTTTAAGTAAACTGTGGCCTGTGGTGCCAAATCCTGCTCTGTTGAACTGTTTCGAAGCTGTGTGTGTGTAAAAAGTGCCGTCAAGTCACAGCCAACTTATGGGAAACTAGGTCATGACATTTTTGCCCAGGTTTGTCTGACCCTCACATTTAAAACTGGTGCTTCACTGGCTCAGACATCGCAGAATGACAATATGTGGCTAAAAGTGCTATTGCATCAAACAAGTGTTTTTATCCAAGCAGATGTAAGAATTGCCAGGAGACAAAGCAGTTCAAGTTTCAGGCATCATATTATTCGAAGGTGCCTGTTGACGATCCCTGTTCAAAGCTGTTCCCTTGGCCAAAGGGAAAGCTGTTCCCTTGGCCAAAGGGAAAACCATGCTTGGGATGGGATTTCTATGTCTGCCACCAAATAACTTTCTGTGGTAATCAAGAAAACTACAACTAGTCTGCAGTTTATTGTGAATAAGGGAATTTGTTGATGTAACTGTCTTTCCGAGCACAGTAGTTTCTAGAGCAAGCAATGCTAGCTATCAAAAAATCCAAAGGTTTTGTCGTTGAGATAAAAGGAAATTTCCACATAACCACTTGCCACTGCATTTTTTTCTTTAAGCTGTTAATGCAGAACAGAGAGCGCATACTTGGGCTGAGTAGTGCTTTTAAAGTCCCTCATGTATAGCTGTGGGGGGGGGGCAGGCTCATGTGCTTACAGCTTGGAGAATCAGACTGTTTGCTACAACAGGATGAAGAGTGTTTTGAACAGCAACATACCTTGAGGTGAAACAGTGTTGTTGGAAGACTGGCTTTTTAATAAGTTTTGCTGTAAATATATTTGAGAAGCTGAGGCCCTTAAACCTCTATCAAGATTTTAAGGGATACGTGTGTGACATTTTGAAACCAATTATGCCTAACAAAATTGGGTTTTCATACAGTGTTTCTGACAAGAACTTCCTTTATCTAATAATTTTCAGGTAGGTGTTGCTTTGGACTATGAACACTAGGTGACACAAATAGTAATTTCTGGGAATAGCCTTCCATAGTTTCTGTTAAAAATAGTTTTCAGATGAGCCTTCAGATATTGGTAATAAAAGTGTATGTAAGTCCAGGCCCTGACAAATATTCTTTGGTTCTAGGAGACAGCCGAAATGTTTAGGGATCAGACTCTTCATATCTGAAGAAGTGTGCATGCACACAAAAGCTTCTACCCAGAATTGAACTTTGTTGGTTTTAAAGGTGCCACTGGACTCAAATTTTGTTCTTCCTGAATCTACTATCTTCACAGGTTCTTATAATTTTATTAGCTCTATGACAAATAATGTAGTATGTAAATAAATGTAGGGTTAATGCTTGTTCTCATCACCACAACAAAAACTAACCCTAACCTGACATCTTCTGAATTTCTAATAATTTCATTACTGCTTAACCCCCCCCCCCAAAAAAAACTCCTCAATTTAACATAATATTGGAGCCATCATAGAAAACAACTGGTTAAGAAATGAATTCATCTATTGAATACTGTAAAATTTACATATAAATATAAAAAAGCAATAGCAAGAGCTCCATGCACATTTATATTTTATAGCGTACTAGAGAATATATCCTGATGCAAAATGATAAATGAGTTTTGTATTTTCTGCAAGGATCACTGAGAGATACTGTAATAAAATAATTGACAAAAATACTAGGTGCTACGATAAAATTTCTGAGTTCCTTGGTGACCTGGGATTTATTGAGCCTGTGTTAGTCATTGTGCTGCATAGATGATGTGAAAGGAAATTAAATTCTCTAGTCTCTGTGGAGGGAAGTCATCCAGGAAGTGCTTAGGTCACGCCTCTGCTTGCTCGGATAGGCTATGCAAATTTCTTTTGTTACGTGGCTCCTACTGGAGGGACCTAGGCTGACCTCTCCAGTTCCTGCATAGCACTGCACTCGGTAGGTTGTCTGGAGCTCCTGCTCCAAGCCAGGGTGCTTACAAAATAAATAAAAATAAATAGAGCTGAAGAGGAGAAGGAGACTTTTAAGGTTAAGACAGCCTCCCCATTATTTGGATTCCTGTATGGGCAAGGAAAGTTGGTCTGAAGATGCCCCAGGAAGAGAAGAAGAAGAAACGGCCCCCTCCCCCACCCGAGGCTTCGTGTGAAGAAGAAATGGCCGCGATGAACACCTCCTTGGAGCTGCAGCTCCCTTCCTCTGAGGCATCAGGGGTTGGTGAGGGGGAGGCGCAGCAGACCGGGACCGCAGCACAGGTGTCCCATGGAGTCTTCAGCGGTGCGAAGTTGGGGGAGCATGTGGAGATGGCGGACGCCCCCCCCCCAGCAACACGTGGCCCAGGAAGATGATGGTGCAGACATTGGAGGCGGTGTGGGGTAGGTTGAACGGTCGCAGCCTTTGGGGTCCCACTCCCCCCCCATGCCCAAAGAAGGCGGCAAAATCGGCTGGCATGGCAGCCAGCAGCCATGGAATGAAGAGGCAGTGTGGGAAGCAGAAAGTGCTGGCGAGCCCCTGCGGTGACCTCATTCCAACAGTGGGGGAGGCCCGTTGGGGAGCAGCCCTGCAGAAGGAGATGGCCCGATCCAAGAGCACAGCTTATGCCCCTGGAGAGGCATGGGGGCAGGCGGGCCCCTTACAGCCACAATTCCTGCTCCAATTCCGGCTGGCACAGGGCCCAGGCAACACGGCACAGATGGGCTTCTTGCAGTCTCAGTTCCCCCACCAATTTCAGCCACCACAGGGCCCAGGCATCATAGCATCAGGCCCATTCATGTCTCCACCATTCCAGTCAGGCCCTACCTGGATGTGGCCTGTACTACGGGGTCCTTGGGCAGCTCCTCAATGGCCACTCGGTGATGGGAGCCAGGGGGACAGGGCGGCAACCCCGGGGCAACCCCCAGCAAGGTGATCAAGCCTGGAGCCCAGGGGAAGGTCATCCTCAAGGGGCTCCAGGGGAAGGAAGAGGAAGAGGCACCATCCTTCCTCGTATTCCAGATCCTCATAAGGCTCTAGGTCCCCAGCCAATTCTAAGAGGTCCAGCCAACCGGCCTGCCCAAAGTTATAGGAGCCTCTGAGGATGAGAATGGACACGCTCAAGCCAAGGGATTGGGGCAGCCAGTTAGGAAATCCCCAGAAGAGGGTGCCTCCCCAGCTGTAGCTCTGAGCTGGGAGAGGTTGCTTCTACCATCACCTCAGTGGGTGGCCATACAGAAAAAGAGGAAGGGGAATGGTCGGGGGGGGGGAGGTGGAGATAAAGCCTATCTCCTCTAGATTATTCCAGGTTGAGCATTTTCAAAGACTGTTAACCAAAGTCATCTCCACACTGAACTACTAGCTGGAGGTAACAGAGAAGCCAAGGTCCTCAGCATCTGCGAACCTTGACCCCAGAGGTTTCAAAAAACCAGTCAAGTTGCAGACCTTTTTACCTTTCCTTGATTTTTTTGATGATATCATGAAAGCAGAGTGGGCCAATCTTGGGGGTGGGACCTCTCTGTTGTTCGTTGCAAAACGCCTTTACTCCTTACCAGAGGACACCATAGAGGACCTGAAAGTGCCCCTGATTGACACCCCAGTAGTGGCTCTGCACTCAGGTGCAGTGATGCCCAAGGATGGAGAGAATGCCTTGAAGGACGCCATGAAGAATGAGACGGCATAAAAAATCTTTGGTGATACGCTCCACAGCAGCTCTATTGAACTTCACAAGGGCCATCACCATATGGGCAGATAATCTCCTACAAACCCCACTGGTCCTGAAGAAGTCTCTTCTGAAGATGAAACAAGCGGCAGAGTTCGCTTCAAACACGCCTCAGGACAACATCCAGTTCTGTGCCAGGGCGTAAGCAGCAAACATAATAATCTGCCAGAACATATGGCTCAAACATTGGAAGGTGGACACATTGTCAAAAAGCAACTTAGCTAAAGAGAAGTTCTCCGGCAGGCTCCTATTCGGAGAATCAAATCTTGACAATGTGCTGTTGGAGACCAGGGAGAAAAAGAAGGCCATGCCGTCATCCTCCTATCATAGGGAGTGAGAAAATCAAAGCACAAATCTACTCATTCCTTTCATTGTGGTTACAACGTAGGACGAGGCCAAGAGGGCAGGGACTACAAGTCATTCAGATCCTTCAAGTATGGAGCACGGCCCAACGCCAAACAAGTGCCATTGTTCAGAAATGACAGAGGCGCCCCAATTAAAAAGCAGTCCGCCTGACTATCAAATAGGAGTCTGGCTCCAGGCCTTTGACAGGATCTGGTGCCTAACCATAACAGACCGGTGGGTATTGTTGATAATTTCACAGGGCTACAAAATAGAACTCACAGGCACACCACCTCACAGCTTCAGACCCACGCCAGTTCCAAGACAAAAGGCCAGACTTCTTCAACTGCAAAGGGCAATCCTACACTTGGAGAACATAGGTGCCATAGAAGCAGTTCCCAAGGAACAGCACTTCAAGGGAGTTTACTCTGTCCTCTTAGTTGTTCCAAAGAAGTCAGGGGACTGGGGAGCAGTACTGAACCTACGAGGTCTCCACACATGGGTAAAAAAGAGAAAGTTCCAGAGTCCCTATGCCATATCTTTCAGATCCTACAGCAAGGGGACTTCCTGACCTCCATGGACCTCAAGGAGGCATACTTCATGTTCCAGTACACCTGGACTCCAGGCAATTCCTGTGCTTCTGCTTCCAGGAGCAGCATTTCCAGCACAAGGCATTGCCCTTTAGCCTCTCCTCAGCACTCAGAATCTTTACCAAGATCATGGTTTCTCTGGTGGCATCATTGCGTCTGGAGGGGATACACATGCACCCGTATTTTGACGACATTCTGATATGAGTGGGAGACTACCAGACAGCCTTGCGCAACACAGAGAGGGCAGCGGACATCCTGTGTGCGCACGGGTTCATCATCAATGAAGAGAAGAGCCATTTCACCCATACACAGGATCTCGGGTGCCAGGCTGAACACGAAGCAGGCCACGGTCTCGCTACCAGAGGAAAAGCAGCTAAAGATTCGGGATTGTGTACAGAGCGTCAGGTCCAGGAAACAAGCAGACCTGATGCACCTGGCAGCCCTACAGGGCCTGATGAGATCCACAGTAGACATGGCTTCATTCCAGGACCTTGGCGTGGGTTCTGCTCCCCCTCCAAAGGGAGATAGCCCAGAAGAAACACATTCAGGTGGAGATGACAGAAGGACTCAGAGGGGAGTTAGAATGGTGGGCGATGCCATCAAACTTGAGCAAGACCGTCAGTTTCCTCCATCTGCAGCAGATTGTAATAACGATGGACGCGAGCAAGAGGGGATGGGGTGCCCACTGTGGGCTCCATGTAGCACAAAGCAGATGGTCTCTGGCGGAGGTGACCTACAGCATCAACTGGCTGGAGCTGCGAGCAGTCAAGCTGTCCTTGAAGGTCTTCGAAGAACATGTAAAGAGTCACCATGTACTCGTACGCACCGACAATATGACGACAAAGGCACACATCAAACGGCAGGGAGGCACCAGATCAAAGTCCCTCTTCATGTAAGCCAGGAGTCTGCTTCGGTGGGTGGAGAAAAATCTTGCAAGCATCAAAGCAGAACACCTGAAGGGCCTGGCCAAGCTCCAGGCAGACTGGCTGAGCAGGGAGGACCTGGATCCAGGGGAATGGGCCTTGAACAAGGAAGTCTTCACCCAAATCACTCAAAGGTTCAGGATGGACCTGTGATGGACCTGCTTGCAAGCTCAAAGAATCAACAGGTCAAGAGGTTACTGTCCTGATACCAAGACCCAGCAGCAGAAGGAGTCGACACACTGTCTCACCAGTGGCCGGAAGGTCTCCTGTATGCCTTCCCTCCCACAGCACTAATAGGAAGGACACTCAACAGAATCAGGTGGATCAATGCAGAAGTGGTGTTCGTGGCCCCCCACTGGCCAAGGAGGCCATGGTTCTCGGATCTGGTACAAATGTCCTCCACAAGGCCATGGACACTGCCTCTGTGACGGGATCTCCTACACCAGGGACCGTTCCTCCATCCAGACCCGGCATGGTTACAGTTGACTGTGTGGAAATTGAACGGCTAGAGGCTCAAGGGTTTCCCGGAGACATGGTGGACGTCATGTTAAAAGCAAGGAGACCATCAACCTGGTGCATCTACAGCCACACATGGGAGACATTTCCCCAATGGGCAGCTACTAAGGGACTGCAACCTCTACGAGCCACAGACAAGGACGTGGTACTCTTCTTGGCTGAAGAATGGAAGATGAGCCTTAGGCCAAATACACTGAAATGACAAGTGGCGGCCATCCAGGCTTTCCTGGGGCACAGGCCATGAAGGAACGTGTCCACAAGCAAGTATGTAAAAAAGTTCCTGCTAGGAGTGAACCAGTTGGCCCCTCCAGTCAGACACAGGTTCCCGTCATGGAGCCTCTCCAAGGTGCTGCGCGCATTGACTAAGCCACCATTCGAGCCACTGAAGACGACGGAGCTACGTCTCCTTTCATGGAAGGTGGCTTTTCTCATGGCAGTGACCTCAGCCAGGAGAGTTTCTGAACTGGCACTACTATTGGCTAGGAAGGAACTCTGTATATTCCAGAAAGAGTCTGTCACCTTAAGGATGGATCCGTCTTTTCTTCCGAAGGTGAATTCCACCTTCCACCTCAACTAGCTGATTATATTACCTTCATTCTGCCCCAATCCAAAGCATCCTAAAGAAAAGACCTGGCACAAACTGGATGTACGGAGAGCCCTCTGTATATACCTCAAAAAGACAGTACCTTTTCGATGGTCAGACTCGCTGTTTGTATCACACAGTGCCCTGAACCAAGGGAAGAAGGCCTCAAAGGCCACTGTGGCTTATTGGATTATTTTTATTTATTTATTTATTTACAGGTGATTTATATACCGCTCATAACCCCTAGCGGGTCTCAGAGCGGTTTACAATGTGCTACTATATAGTAGCGAGTAACCTATCTAGGGCCACATATGGTGCGGGGGGGGGGGACAACCTACAAGCACAGCACGGTCTTCCGTTCGTTCGGCAGCTTCCTTGGTGTGTGTTGTTGTTGCTGTTGTTCCTGCGACCTGGCTGCCGCCGGCTGGACGAACTGGCTGTTATTCTTGGAGCGGCGTGTCTTTCCTCAGGCGCAGCCTCGGCTAACGTCCAAGCGGCTCCTGCCGCGCTGCGTCCCGCGTTCTGACGTCGCTCCAACTCTACGTCCAACTCCACCTTCGACTCCGCCTCCACCATTGCTCGAGCCAGTCACCGCCGTTCTGGGTCGCTTCACCGTTTCTCCGCCGCCGCCATTTCTTTCTCGCTGCTGCCGCCAACTCGATCCTTTTCTTCACTGCCGATCACCATCCCAGCACAAGGCTGGGAGGAGGGTGCCCCCTGCCACCTAGGGCAGGTACCCATTCCTCTGATGTTAACAGAGCCGCTGGGTTGGCAGGAGCTGGGACGAGGGCCTTCCGGCTGCTCGTCCAGATGTTAACAGCAGGCGTTGTAATGCCTGCGCCACCGCTCCCTTAGATTAGAAAATGTATAGCCGAGGCTTACGAGGTGCAAGGACTTGCTCCGCCAGGTCAGGTGACTGCACACTCAACAAGAGCAGCAGCAGCAGCTACAGCAGCATTTTCCACACAAGCAACAGTGGAAGAAATCTGCAGAGCAGCTACCTGGGCCTCCTTTTCGACATTCGTGATGCATTACAGAATAGATCAGGCGGCCTCCGCCAAGGCAGCATTCGGCTGACGTGTATTACAACAAGTATTGGAGGCATAAGGAATGTTGAAAAGCAAAAAAGAAACACCCACCCTAGAGGAACAGCTTGGGTACAGCTAACCACTTCCTGGATGACTTCCCCCCACTGAAGGAGAATGTTACATTGGACCTTACCTGAAGGTTATTTCTCTTCAGTGGGGGAGAAGTCATCCACATCCCACCCTAGAACCATTACATCAAAGCTAACCAGGGGTGGCGGGCTGGGTGAGGACTCAACAACAACAATAAGGAGAGGGGGGGCTTGGACATAACTGGAGAGGTCAGCCTAGGTCCCTTCAATAGGAGCCACACAACAAAAGAAATTTGCATAGCCTATCCGAGTGAGCAGAGGTGTGACCTAACCACTTCCTGGATGACTTCCCCCCACTGAAGGAGAATGTTACATTGGACCTTACCTGAAGGTTATTTCTCTTCAGTGGGGGAGAAGTCATCCACATCCCACCCTAGAACCATTACATCAAAGCTAACCAGGGGTGGCGGGCTGGGTGAGGACTCAACAACAACAATAAGGAGAGGGGGGGCTTGGACATAACTGGAGAGGTCAGCCTAGGTCCCTTCAATAGGAGCCACACAACAAAAGAAATTTGCATAGCCTATCCGAGTGAGCAGAGGTGTGACCTAACCACTTCCTGGATGACTTCTCCCCCCCTTCAGGTAAGGTCCAGTGTAACGTTTCCCAGATTTTCCCTGCCTAGTCATTAACCTTAATATATGGGTCTTGTTTTGGGAGGAGAGCAGATTAAGAGTGTTTTAAATAACTAAGTCATGATGTTAGTTGTAAACTAAAATTTTGTTTATTTGTTCAGGTAGTCCTTTAATCTGCCACAATGGGTGAACCTCAGCAAGTGAGTGCCCTCCCTCCTCCTCCGATGCAGTATATTAAAGAATATACAGATGAAAATATTCGGAAAGGCCTGGCCCCTAAGCCGCCTCCACCTATTAAAGATAGCTATATGATGTTTGGGAACCAGTTCCAGTGTGATGACCTCATTATACGGCCCCTGGAAAGTCAAGGCATCGACCGTTTGCATCCCATGCAGTTTGACCATAAGAAAGAACTGAGAAAACTCAACATGTCTATCTTGGTCAATTTCTTGGACCTCTTGGACATATTGATAAGGAGCCCTGGCAGCATAAAACGAGAGGAGAAGCTGGAAGACTTAAAACTGCTGTTTGTTCATGTTCATCATCTGATAAACGAATATCGGCCCCACCAAGCCAGAGAAACACTGAGGGTCATGATGGAGGTGCAGAAACGTCATCGTCTGGAGACTGCTGAGAGATTCCAGAAGCATTTAGAGCGTGTTGTTGAAATGATCCAGAACTGCCTGGCCTCTTTGCCTGAGGATTTGCCACATTCAGATGGAGGGATGAGGGTAAAATCTGAACCCATGGACACAGAGGACAACAGCAATTGCACTGGGCAGAAAGAGCAGCAGAGAGCAAGTTCTAGCATCAAGAAGGATCAGGTTTTGGATAAAGATTCTTCCATGTGCATGATTATTGATGAACTGACCTGAAAAGAGGGCCTTGATATTCCCTTTGTTTCAACATAGTAAGACCTTGTGAATAAGACTGAAACTGATGCTAAAGAGTTTGATACACCTTTTTCTTCTATGCTGCCTTTATATAGCAATAAGCAATCATGGGATATAGTCTGTAAGAGACAGTAAACCAAATGATGTATTTTTGTAGCTTTTCAGTGTGTACTTTGTTTTTTTAAAAATTGTCTTTAAAGAAAAAAGTATAATAGCTTATTGTTCTGCTGGGGGGGGGGGGATTAGGCCATGTCCATTGTTCACTAGTACTAAACCATCACCAGTCATTTCTCAGCTTCCGTTGTTAACTTCTTTTATTCATGCATGTGAGAAATGCTGTAATGAATTTGAATCTCTGCTGATTGTTCTTTGTTGTAGGCAAAGCCAAACAATATGCTGCAATATTGCAGAAGTTGTATCTGTATACACAGTTATACATAATTACAGTTATATATCTGTAATTTCAGTTAGAAAGCAGCCAAATATGGGTACATTAGTTGCCAGCAACAGTACTTCTGCACGTATGAAGATTTTGGTGTTTAATTTGAACTTTAAAAGAAAAATTAAATATTGGTTGTCTGTTCAAAAGACTGTACTTAAAAATAATTCAGTTTTGATACATATCTGTTGTGATTTCTTTGTGTCTCCACACCAGACTAGCTTGGATCTTAGAGGATGAACTCTACCATCTTCATGGGGCTGCACCATGGCTGTGAAAAACCATCTTCTGTACTGCTTACTCTGGGAACAAGAAAGTTGACTTACTAAGTTTACAGTGCAATCCTGTGAAGAGTTGCTCCAATCCAGGCCCACTGATTTCAGTGGGCTTAGACAGGACTAACTGCATAGGATTCCACTATTAATGACAGAACTTGGCAATTAAACAAGGACACAAGAGTGAGTGGCAATGTTACAGTTTTTCTTATGTGTCATCAGTGATCTAACAGAAACATTGTTGCTTTGCTGAAGGTGCCACAATTCATTTTTCTGTGCCCAGCTATGCTAAAGAAAGTCATTTTTAAGGTCATACCACTCTTTGACAGCTATAATTGTTGTGTATGTGATTTCTATCCGTGAAATACTTGCAACTGTTTGGGTTTAATTGAAAGGCCTTGTGTTAATTTGAGTGTATTAAATTTCTACAAACTTCAGTTCCTAGTTTGCCATTATTCTGCTGTTAAGGGTTCTTTTATACATGCAACACATTATGCCCAGTGATGCTTTTTTCTGTGAGACATTGATAGAGAGCAGCACTTCGGTAGCAAACCCCATCATAAGAATGAAAGAAAAGTCCATCTATGTATTAGCTGTAAAAACACTTAAGAAATAAACAGTGGTGATGCTGTTATGTACTATGTCAATAATGCTTGCTAAATATGAGACTTCATATCATACCTTAGGGAAATAAGTAACTTAGTTCAGTGAGTCAAATATGCGTACATTATTTGTGCTTTGAGACAATGTCATAGCTGTCAGTAAAAATGTAACTCTTCCCATGCCTGCATGCATGCACACACACGTTGGTTGTCATGTACTTAGCTCTAATGTTGAAGTACACTTCTGTTGATATCTAGTCATTACAGAGAATCAAACTATATTGACTGAAAAAATAGATATGAGTTGTATAATCTCTACAAAGACAATTTTGTGAATTGTTCCATGGTTTAATCAAGTTATACAAAAAAGTAAAGCATGTTTTTTAAAAAACTCTTTTTACTCATGGTACAATGCTTGGGGTATTGAAAAGTCTTGCACAATAATCTCTGCACTTTTACTAAGTCTGGTTTTTTTTAAAACCAATAATGAAGTAGTTCTGGGCAAATGAAGAGACAGAAGGAACTGGGTCATGTAGCCAAAATGGTGTCTAACTTAACTGAAGCATTTGGGGCTTCTGTAGGAAAATAAAACAGTAATGGAAGGAGTCAGCACATAAGTATTGCTGGAGACAGGCTCCAAGGAATGTTATTTGGTATTAAAAGGGAAGCTACATGTTCCAACGGGCTTGTTTTTTTCTTCTTCTTTAAATCCAAATACACCAGTGGGTGATGAACTGAAGGAAAAAATAGAACATTTCTGGTTGTGATGAAAGCCAGTTTAATCTTTTCAGTAGCACTTTGGGAACAGTCTCTTAAACTTAGCATTTATATAGCGAGTCATGTTCAAAGTGCTAAACATTATCTCAATCCTTATGACAAATTACATAAAGCATGTCACTATCTCCATATTGCTGAGATATAGGGAAGAAGTGAGTTTACGGACTGAAAGAATGTGGCTTGCCTGGGGCTGTTTTAGTGAGTGTGTGGCTGAGGTGAAAATTGATCAGGGACTTCCTCGCTCAGAGTTCCCTTATACTAGCTGCTCTTGGCTATTAAGCTAGAAAACAATACACAGAGAATATAATATGCCCCAAATGAATTCTCAGAAATATTAGAAGCATTTTTCTCCTATTAGGAATTCTTCAGTGTGAGTCACAAGTTTCTGGGCACTAAGCCATCCCGATCAGGTACTTTTCCTATCAACTGATGCACTGCCCCTGTCCCCATCACTAGAAGCCCTGTAATATGTTACTTTAAATGCACATACATCTGTTTGTAAAAAAGATCCCAAAAGCAATTTACAAATGAAATTGGGCACTAGTACTTGCATAAATGTGATGTTCTCCCTCTGAGGAGGAGGACATCTTGCTGGGTGATTCCCACCATCCAATCAGGGAGGCAGGAACATTTTTTTTCAACTTCCTGTCTCTTGCCTGTGGGAGTCGCCCTCTTCAGTTCTTTTCCTGCCTCAACAGGGAGAGCAGCTTAGATTAGACTTTGTCTTTGTCTAATCTTTAAAACTCTGTTCCTTAAAGTAAAGGTAAAGGTTCCCTTGCTTGAAAGCCAGTTGAATCCGACTCTAGGGTTGCGGTGCTCATCTCCGTTTCAAAGCCGAAGAGCCAACGCTGTCCGAAGACGTTTCCGTGGTCATGTGGCCGGCATGACTAAATACCAAGGCACACGGAACGCTGTTACCTTCCCACCGAAGTGGTACCTATTTATCTACTTGCAATTTCTTGCTTTCGAACTGCTAGGTTGGCAGGAGCTGGAACTAGAGATGGGAGCTCACTCCGTCATGCGGCACCCAGGTCTCGAACTGCTGAACTACCGACCTTCCACAGCCTACAGTTCAGTGTCTTAACCACTTGAGCCACCGCAGCTACTTATTCAAGTTCCTTATTCAACCTCATATATCTTCTAACAACTACTTCTATATACTTCCTATAATTCTTTCATATATTCTAACCCTTTTTGGAGAAGAAGAACAATGTTATAGATCGAGGCTGTCTTCAACAGTGGTGGCCATTTTTGGAGACAGTGAGGGCTTTCTTCTGCTGAGGACTGGAACACCCTCCTTATCGCTGGTGCCCGACAGGGCACAAGAGGAGCCACCATGTCCTATTCAGGCTTGCCTAGGCTACCCCAATGTGATTGCCTTAATCTGAGGGTGACAAAAAGTGCACCAAAAATAACACCTGTTACAACTGATCGCTGGAGACCAGGACAATCGATTTGCAAGGCTGCAGGGAGATTCCTATTCCATCTGCACGCCTCAAAAACTAGCAACAGCTGACTAATAGAGAAAGGAATCTCTGTGGGACCCAGACGTGCCAGATTTTCAGCATTCCAGCAATCTATGCAAACCATGGCTGTTCTCCTTACCTCCTGACTTCCTTCTCTCTTTAGAGTCCAGGAGGCTGTTGAGTGCCTTCCCACTCCATAAGCCATGTAAGCAACATAGCTTCTAATGAGAGCCATCTAAGCAACTACTCAGTGCACTAAGTTGCAGCGGCAGCTGCATGCAAGTGCCAACAGTGGCTCTCCAGGTCTGCTTGTGAGTAAGACACACAGACCAAGGCCCTCGATGTTTTCTCCCCTGGGTTCTAGCCTTGCTTAGGCAAATCATACAGGAGGAGATTGACAATTCTGGCAAGGTAGAGATGGAAGACATACATCCCACCCCAGCGCCTTCTCCTGCCCCCTCCCTTCCTACAGGCAGGGGGATTTGGGCAATGGAGCTGCTTCTACAGAGAGACCTAGCTAGCCCCTAAGGCAGCTAGGAAGGAATCTTACAATAGAAAGAGAGAAAGATCACTCTCTGTAGGACAGAGAGAGGGGGCATTCCTTAAGTTTAAAAGGAGGATGAAATGCACTATTTTAATTTAGTGAGCCCTATTATGCAGGGAAGGGCAGGCTATAAATTGAATATAGAAATAGAAATTCATGAACAGTCCATAAGAGGAGGACCCTTCACGGTAAGTGTCCAATGGTCGTTTCAGTCACATGCTCAGCTGTATCAAATGCAACATGAGAATTACATAATGCACATATAAAGAAAAATAAATTGTATGTTGTAATTATGTGCTTCATCCAAGAGCATCTGAAGTTGTACAACCAGTATTCTATTAAGCAGTGACTGCTCAAAAAAGGTAGATTACAGATCAGCCTGACTAACCAGGTTAATTCTTCAAGACCAGAACCAGTGCTTCTTCAGGAGGTACCAGGCCACCAGCTAATTCAAGACTTCAACTACACATCCTTCTGTAATGACATGCATGTTCATCTGCCTCTGACATTCGTCTGCAAAAAGTGGTTGGATCAGCAAAAATATAAATGTCACTGTCTTCTCAGAATCAGCAATGCACAGCTTCCTCTTTTTTATAATGATGTGGCTGCAGCAGGCCCTGCAAAGCAACCCTGAAACTGTTAGAAATGCCTCTTGGCTCTTCTGCAGGAAGTGGCTTGTGAAAATCATTAATTAACATAGGATTTTGATAGAATTTGTGAAAATTATATCCATTGCCAATGGGATTATTGTAAGCAATTTGTGTTAACTTGAAACAAAATCATCAAAGGTTGGCTATTATCAGCTTTTCTCAATTCCCCTCCTCCTTGTATTCCTCGTCACACCAGTCATTCATCCATGTGGGTCCTAATATCCCTAGTATCACCTTGCCAGCAGTCAAAAGGGAAACCTTCCTCTTTTTTTTTTTTGCTAGAATGGCTTGTGGAATCCAATCCCAAGAGGTTATCTGCCCACTGTATAGATTCTGCCCCCCAGGCCAGTCCAGGGATGAGGGGGAAACTCTACACTTGTTCAATACATTAAACAATGACCCAGAGAAGTATGCTACCCTCTCTGGCTTTCAAAACAATAGCCACCAGGATCTCTACTTAATCCCTCGCCAGCCGGAGATTAGAGATCCACAATCTCAGCTGGCATCTGGGTTTTACACACTAGCACCTCCATCCAGAGAGGCACTCAATGCTCAATGGTACCATGTAGCCAGTTAGGCTGCAAGATTTAGGCTTAGAATTCAGTTACAACAATACAGACAGTTAGAAACAAGAATAATGTTTATTCAGTCAGAGCTTTGCATAGACTAGAAGGATTTCAAAATAAGAAAACTTATGGCTCTTGGCCATCACTGAACATTAAAGAGATATGCATAGTTACCAGGATGAGCCATAGTCAAGAATGTCCAAGTATACAGTCCAATTAGATCCCAAAGGATCCTCAGCAGAAACTCCATCTTTGTGCAAGCATGCAGCCATGTGCTCAGCTCACACAGGAGGTCTTTGTTCCACTTGGGACAGCATCTCCAGGTGCAATTTCAACAAGTAGAGAGAAAGCAGGAACAGACTGAACTCCTGCCAAGGGACCAGACTATTATAGCCCAATCTAATCATGACTAGCCGTGGCCATGCAGCCAATCACGAGTAGACAGAGGATGTGGTCAATGGTTAATTGCCATGGGAGCTTTGAGGGGACAGGATGGAAGTTTGGAAACCTCACCCGCGGTCACATGATTCCCAAACCCCAAACTTCATTTCGTACGTGTGTCTTTGCCTGTTTGCTAGGGCCATCTGGTCTCTGCCAGCATGGAAGTGTGAAGAATGTGGGGTTATATGGCAGGGCTATTGAGGCCATTTGGCTTCAACAGGAAACAGCACAGCAGGGCATCAGCAAAACATTCCAGGGGAGGCATGAAACCTGTAGAAATCAATATTTCTATACACCCACCAATAAGTATTTTCTTGGTGGTGTTTTTAAAAATTCATCTTTATCTTTCCAGCGTCACCTGGATTGGGTGCAATTTTTATGTATGTTGCTCACGAAGGAGTCAAAATTGTGATGAGCCTTTGGAATTCTTTGAAACTTTCAGCTTCCTGCTTCAGAGATGATCATTTTGCCTTAGATATTTGTTGCGCATATGCACTGAGGAAAG